GTAAAGGTACAATTCCCAATGAGAAATGTAATTGTGTTGTATACCTACAATGTACCAATAAAAGAATTTAATAAAGTGCAAAAAAAAAAGAAAGAAATGGGCCATAGATTAGCTCACTGTGCAAAGGCACTGCAGAACCCTGGGTCAGCCTGAGTCAGAAAGACGCTCTACCTCCTAGAGGGGGCCAAAACGATCTCATAGAAATCCAGATCTTACTGTTTTTCGCCTGTGAATGAAACCCTGCTCATATATCACTTTGCAGGAAGAATCAGTGTCAACATAAGGAGACCAGCCTTGAGGTAACAAAGCCACCTTTGTGGGGCTAAACTGAGGTGTGCCCCTCCCAAGCACACTGCCCAGTGTTGCACCCTAATAACAAACCAACACAAGCTGGTGAAGGCCTCATTCCTCACAGGTAGCTAGGGAGCAAGCATGCTGCCCACCAGGCTTCTCCACGGGTGTCTCAGACACCAGTGTCTGTGGGAAGCCAGCCAAGCTCTGCCTTTCAACCCCTTCGAATTCAGAGATGCGGAGAGGCCCCATCATTCAGCCCACTCCCCTCCTCCAGGTCATGGGTGTACCACGCCTGCTCCCTCCTCTGTTGACGGGGTCTTGGCAAGAGGCCTTTCCATTTCCAAAACATGGAAAGACCCTGAAGTGAATCATAGATCATAAGTCACAGGGCTCTCTTGAGATCCCTGTTGCAGGAAGTAGCCTGAAATGGGACGCCTTCTCTTCCCCTTACTGTCCTCAGGGGCCCGGAGTGTGGTTTCTCAGAAACAGCCTGGATGACAGCTCTTGCAGACAATCCAAGGTTGAAAAGCTCCAAAGAGGCAGAGAGCCTTCTCTCACCTGGAACAAATGTCTTCATACACTGCTGCCTTGATCAGGAAGAAACGGTTCAACCAGCACATACCCTAAGCAAACAAGCAGACGTGGAATCCAAGCTTGCTGGGAGTTCTCACACCTTTGTGTCTTTCATCATCCTGTCCCCTCCACTTGGAATGGCTGTTTTGGCTGGGTAATTTGACTTGTTCTTGGAGATTCACCTAGTGCCTGACCCACCTCACATGGCATGCACACACTGTGCCCTCATTACCTGAGCATACTGGTATCTGCATTCAGAGCACCTTCAAGTAACCAAGTCAGCATGTGGCAAAGAGAGAGCTCCACAAAAGATTCTAAATAAATGATTAGTGCCAAATCCATTGTGTTGAATGTTGTAAAGGCAACCTCTTCCTCCCCATTTATTCATGGGTGCTGAAAGATCATGAACTGTTCGTGTCATGAGGAAGCATCTTGGAAAATATTCTCAAGTTCACAGACACTTGGAACATGTGGAAAGTGCAACATTTCCTAAGCAATGGATTTCCCAATTTGGGGAGAAACAAAGGATCCTTAAGAAAGAATATTTTACTATTCCTATTTAATTGATTAAGCTACTGAGGTAGAAATGCCTTCTGACTGTCCCCCGTGTTTAGAATTGCTGCAATAAGGGCAGGTCATCACACAGTAACTTTACACTTCTTTGGCAGGTGGCCACAGGGTGCAGGCATTTTGCAGGACCCACAAGAAGGTGAACAAAACACATTTGGTTCCTGTGGTCATAAAATAGGTGTGGGAGGAATTGACTGGGATGAATAAGTACATAATGACAGACTGTAATTAATACTCTAAAGGAAAAGTAAGCAACGCCACAAGAGATTATCTAAGAGGAGCAGGGCAAGATTGGCTGCATTTATTAGCAACCACTGTGTATCAGCGGCGCTGTGCTTAGACTTAACTCATTCCCTCAGGGCCTGCAGACAGAGAGCTGCGATTGAGAGGCTCCCCCTGAGGAGGTCCTAAGGCTTTTGAGTAACCTCTGCTTCCCTTTTTGCCAAAAGAGGAAGTTACAACACCTTGCCTACTTGCTTCCCATTTTAGTGTAGGAAGCACTTTAATGTTCAAGCATTTTGTCTTTTCAAACTACGGAGTGAAATTACCATCGATAATGGCTTTCACAGAAATGAGCAGATATTTTCTATGAATTTGGATTTATAGTCAATGAACAACTCATTTTTTCAACCATCTCAACTCTCATTTTTTATATTAGGATTTTCCCCATTCTTTGAAAGATGAAAGCACTGACGAAAAGGTAAACTCATGTGGACTGAGAAGCTTGCCTTCCCCAGGAGCACAATACAGGAAGGCCACCTTGCCTTCCTCCCCACACTTTCCTTGAGGTGGGAGGCAGAGGTTGCTTCTTGAAGACCAGCAGAGACACTTGCTTATGTTTATTTGTTTTTCTTGCACCCCAGTCCACCTCAATAGGCATAGGAATTACTGTGGGAATGAAACAGACACCCGAGATCCCTCAGACCCAGTCCTGGTTTGGATCCAACTGATACAGGTGAGTAAGGTAAGGAGGAAGGACTTTCTTTATCTCTAGGTCCATGTGACAAATTTGTGGCATAGAATGAGGCCCTGCTGGAAGGACCCGTCCCAGAAGGATCAGTGACCAAGGGCTCACAGTAGTGAGTCACTGGGCACCTGGAGGGCTGGCCCAGGGGAGCTTTGTGCCAGTAAAGGAGAGATTGGCTCATGCCTTGTTTCTCCCCCAGCTCTGACTTTCCTCCAGCACAGCCTCCCTGCTCCCTGAGACTGCTAGGGGCAGCATCAGCTTCTGTTCCCATAGGGGAGGATAAAGAAGGTGGAGGTGCAGTTAGTGTTCTTGTGGCACATGGTGCACGAGGCCAGGGGGCTTTCTGTAGACATGAAGCCACACAGGACAGGCCATGCACAGGGCACCAGATGTATGCTTGTTGGCAAAGGGGGAGCATGGGGCCATGTGGTTCACAGACCCTTCCCTACCCACCACATTCCAGCCCCATCACCTCCCAGGCAGGTAAGGAGCCTGAGGTTCAGAAGGTTACCTGAGTTGCACATTCATCACATAGCTAGATGGTAACAACTCCACCAGTTGAGCACGTTTCTGTTACACTGCTGCCTCCCGGTGACCCAGGACTCCTACTGTAGAGAAGGGAGAAAATGATAACCTGGAAGTGCCCCTTCCATAGCCATAGGACCCACTTCCACCTCTCCTCTGAATCCTGAGAAACTAGTTCACCCTAAGCTGTTAATGACTCACAAGCCACCCCCAGCATATCTGTAATTGTAACTGGTAAAGAGATCTGCAGAAGCATCGGAGGACCTTGTAGAAGACCTTTGTCCTTTCCCACCAGACAACAAACTTCCACCCAGAGAAGGGCTGTATCTGATTTTCTCTGTATATGTGGTGCAAGGCATGGTGCTTCGTACATGCAGATCTTCCAAAACACAACTGATGATGGATGAATGGATAAGTGAATGGATGCATGGGCCTCCCAGTAAAGAAATCATTCACTTCTTCAAATTACACTCACTAAGAATCAAGCATGCAGGAAAGAAGATAGGCACTAGAGATAGTCCTGTGAACTAGGCAGAGAGTCTAACAGTAGAGTTGGTCATTAAATAGGCAGCAACCAAATAACTAGTTATACTTAAAGTTAGGTATTGTAGGAGGGGCCAGGGATTTAGCTCAGTGGCACTGCTCCTGCCTCAAAAGCACAAGGTCCTGAGTTTGAAGTTAGGTATGGTAGTAAGGCTAATAGCCACAACTGTAGGTTCTGACCATTTAGGTATCCAGCAGTTAATCTGTAATCTCATTTTGTAACTTGGCCATCATATTAACCAAATTCTAATTTTTAAAATTCACTTTGATATTGTTTAAACACAACCTATATGTTATAACTTTTCAATTCAAAAGTTATACTAAAGATTCACAAAGGAAAACCAAGGTGCATAAATCAAAGCTCTAGAGAATAAGGTTTCAGATCCTAAACACATATTTCTACCAGTCTATCTAAAGATTAATATTTTAAAGTTCAAAAAAGCTTCTACAGGTGTATCACAAGTATATAAAAAGTAAGTGCCTAAAAACACTAAAAGCCAATCACAAAAATATAAATAGTAATTTATTACCATTTTCAGTTTTTAAATTTTTATTTAATAATTATTATTTTGTAATAAAGTAAACTTTTAAAAATTCTATTCAAATATGTAATAGATAATCTCATTTTCCCTTTGGAATTATTCATATTGCAAAGTCTATAGTATCTCATAATAGTGGATGTTGACCATGGTTCTCTTTTCCCTCCCGACTATAAATTTCTTGAACCAAGGAATAGATCATGAATCTTTTTTTGGTACCAGGGATCGAACCCGGGATCTTGCACTTTTGAGGCAGGTGCCAGAACCACTGAGCTAATTTCCTGGCCCAGATCATGAATTTTTTGAGTCCTAAATCAATAAGACCAACAGATAGAAATTCTAAAGCACTGAATTCAAATTTCTCAATAACCAAAGTCAAGACCTTTGGGTTTTCTGCAAAAATGTTTATCAAAACTTGCTAATCCTGCAGACTTCTCAAGGAATATCATTTATTATCAGCAAATCAGGATCCAATCCAAGCATTTGTTTTTCATTTGTAACTGACCTCCCAAGTCCTTCTGTGATCCCTTCAGTTGTTATGACTAATAAGTTAGAAAACATAAGCTAACATTTATTCAATTTCACATTGAAACAGTCATTAGTGGTCACTTAGTTCAATATCCCTCCCAAACCAGGAATCTCTTCCACATCCTTGGTCGGTAATCTTCTGGTATCTACTTAAATACCTTACATGCCAGGAAGCTCACAGACTCCCACGGAAGCCCTTTTTGCTTTCAAAAGATGCTTATCTTTAAATTATATCCATCATAGATGAAAGTTCTGTTCTTTACACATGCATTCCTGATCCCCACCGTAGAACAAGCACATGAAAATATTCAATAAATGCCCCCTTCCCTGGATAACGGGACATCTAAATTCATGCATTCATTTAGCATGTTTAGTGAACACCTGCTGTGTGATATTATTTGGAGCCCTGGAGTACACAGCAGTGGATAGGAAAGACAAGGTTCCTGCCCAGGCACTTATACTCTCACTGAAATGAATTGTCTACCTGTATTTCCCTTTCCTACTTATCTTTTAGATGTCATTAGTGGGTGGCAGCAGCCAATAGTAGGGCAGGAGGTTGAGGAATATATAAAGGTTTCATGTATATTCCTGGAAATTACTGAGGAATCCCAGGGAAAGATTGGACTTCCTGTCAGGCTGTGCTGGTGAGTACTCTAGGTCATATTGTTTACACATTAAAGAAACAAAAGCTTGTTTTATGCCTACGCTTGTGAAGCAGGATATCCAACATAGAGACAAAGAGGAGATGTATTAGCATCGTCAACATATACACTTTTCTATGTATCCATACATTTATATATGTGTGTGTGTATGTGCATGTATACATGCTCACATAGATCTATTGATTCCTATTCATACTCATAGAAAAATAGAAAGATAATCATCTAATTTTTTAAATTATTATCTCTAGGTTGTGGGATTATGGATTTTTGTCTGTATTAGTCACATTTTCTAAAATAAAATATTACTTAAACAAGTGAAATAGTTTTATAAAAATCAAATGAACTGAATAAAACAGGTCCTGCTCACTGCTCATGCTGCTTGTGTCTCTGTGCTTCATTCTTACTGAGGTCTCCCTCTCCTTCCCTCTGTTTCCCTGTCTACCTGGCCCAGTAAATAAAGAGTCTCAGCTTCAGCATCATCTCCACTAGAAAGCTTTCCCAATGGCCCCTGCTGCAGGGCCTCTGACCCCCTTTACGCACCTGCTGAACTGAGTACAGATAAGTATGATGGTGCCTGCACCTTCCATTGCTTGCTTGCTTGATTGAAAGGGCCCATAAGCCTGGCTCTGGGCCACTTGGCACTGGACCCCAGCTTCCTGCATGACGCCCCACCATCTCAGGAGGTGTTCTGAAGGTAAGCGACAAATGATTGAGCCTCACATAGATCACTGTTGAAGCTGCCTACAGTTCCTCCTTTCCAGCTGAACTGTCCCTCCTTGTAAACCCCTGCTGGACTTCCTATTGAAGAAAATGCAAGAACTGGGGATGTATAGCTCAGTGGTGCTTGCCTGGCATGTCCAAGGCCCTGAGCTTAGGGGGAGAGTGAGAGAGAGAGAGAGAGAAATAAGCTCACCTCTCCAGCCTTATTCCTCTCTTTTGTATCTCCTCCCAGGACCACTAATCCCACCCTACACAGGCCACCTCTCCCACCTTTGTCTCTGCTGTTCTTTTTAACTGAAATGCTCTTCCCCATGTTCACATATGGAATTTCAAAAAATAATTCCTACTTATTCTATGCCAAATCAAAAGCCACCAGAGCCATGATACTCTCATCAAAATCTCAGTCAGAGGTAGTTGCAATCTTCTCTTGTTCTCAGACCTTTCTTTGAATCCTGTTAAGCTCTTGTCCCATAGGGTCACTAGAATGTGTGCCTGTCCCTGCAGTCATATGAAGAAAAGCTCCATCAAGACATGGGTCATACTCTGCCCACTTTTTATCTTGGCGTAGTAGGCACTGGTTGAGTCTGTGAGTTAAAAGGATTTGGAAAAGCAAAAGTCCAACTTCACTTCCACATGAAGATCCCTGGAAAGGGCTGTACAAATTACTGTGATTGATTTGAATACAGAAAATAGGAGAAAGGCGATCCAGAGAGTAGAATAAGATCAGCTAGGATGCCAAACAAACATATTAAGTAGAAATTGCTTTAAAAGTTTAGGTATTGAATATCTGAAAATTCTCTTTTCTTGTTTTGTAAGTGCTGGCTTCAAAGTCACCATGTTACTGGAGTCCTGGTTGAAGACCTGTTCTATGGTTTGGATCAAAAATATGTCCCCAAAGGCTCTGTGTTCACAGGTGGGGATAACCTCATCAATGATTAACCTATTTATGAGTTTGTAGCTGAATGTGCTTTTAGGATATGGGGCCTGGTAGATCACTGGGGTTATAAATTGAGAGGGTGTATTCTTGGCCCCATTTCCTTCTCTCTCTGGAGCTTTTGTCTTTCTCTCCGATTCCTGGCCCCCAGGAAATGAGCAGCCTTCCTCTTCCACACCCTTCCTCCATGATGTTTCTGTCTTGTAGACAACTGACCATAGACTGAAACCATGAGCCAAAGTAAATCTTTCCTCCTTTTATTTGACTTTCTCAGCTATTTTGGTCACAAGATGAGACGCAGACTAACACAGCTTGGCTCTGGGGGTCCTATAGTCCACACCCAGCCACTTGCCCTAACAGACCAGACAATGATGTTGGAAGCAGGAAAGAAATTTATTCTCACTATGACTGTACCAGGAAGAACAGAAAGCTCTGGTAGTCTAAGGTCTGTCTTTGAGGTGCTAGCAATTGCTTTGCAGTTAGAGAAGGAGCAAAGGCAAGAGGCAAGCGTTCACGTAGATGGCGATTTTGGTCAGGCTGTGGTCTGCCTGGTCATTATCCTGGGACCAATTGTGTAGAATCGTTTTTAGTGCCAAGAAATTTGCCACTGTTCAGTTTCAATTTCTATCACAAGATATTTATCTACCATATTTGTGACGATGTAATTTAAGATAAACTAAATGAAAGAATAATTCACAAAAGAACAGGTCAGAGAAAGGCAAAATGGAGTTAGGTCAACAATTGTGTCCTTCATGAGCAAGGCCTTAATTCTACCCTAGACACTAACTCTGATAAGTTCTATGACTCTGGAAAGTCATTTAACTCTTCTGACATTTAATATCCTCCCTCTTAAAATGAATCAAGGATCGGGCTGGGGATTTAGCTCAGTGGCACCTTGCCTGCCTTGCAAGAGCAAGGTCCTGAGTTTGATCCCTGGTACCAAAAAAAAAAAAAGAATCAAGGATCATTAGAAGCAGAAACTATAAAAGAGCTTTGTTAAGTTCCTTAGGTCTCGTAGAGATGCAAGGCATTTATAAATATAATGTAATTTATTTCAACAAGTAAATATTAATCACTCTGTACTCTGTTAGGTGTTGGGGGAAGTGGTCTAGGAAAAATGAGACAAATATCATTAGTGGCATCAACTTGCTTTCCTC